ACTAACATAACCTCAGACTTCTCTAAACGGATCAAATGATTATAATGTAGGCTTATATAAGGCTATTTTTAGTTGTTAACGATAGAAATAATAGAAGATGGAGTTTTGGATCATAAAGATATATATAAAGATACATGTTGCCTTAAATTAAAAGAGGAATGCCAAATTACGATCCTCGATGCGGTGCTATCCGGTTCCTAGGAACGATTGCCCAAATAGCACTATGAAGCAGCAGAGGAATATGCTCCATTGGATTCGACAATTTTTAGCGGCGCCCAAAAGGGGAATAGACGCTATTAGTTTTGTGTGAAATGTCTGTCCGTCTGTCCCGTTTAGATCTCGTAAACTAGAAAAGATATTGAAAATCCGATATCACAATATTTTAGATTATTCAAAGTTCTGATGCAACGGCTACTTTTTTTTTTCTGAAAGCGAAAAGTCTAATTTTTTAAAACCAGTTATGCAAGCAGTTTTTTTTAAAGAGAAACAGCTAATTAGTATACATTATAAGTTAGACCTAAATTAAAACAAATAGTAATCTTGTAAATGTCTTCTTTGTAAACTTTTTTTTTAATTTGCGAAAATATTTTTTTTTTTAATTTAGCATTCGAATAAGAGATTGAGCCTTTTCAAAAAATTAAATCAATTATAAGACTTCAGTTAGGCCAGTAGAGGCGCGGTAGCTGAGCGGTAAAGCGCTTGGCTTCCGAACCGGGGGCCCCGGGTTCGAATTCAGGTGAAGACTGGGATTTTCTACTTCGGAATCCTTAGGCGCCTCTGAGTCCACCCAGCTCCAATGGGTACCTGATATTAGTTGGGTAAAAGTAAAGGCGGTTGGTCGTTGTTCTGGCCACATGACACCCTCGTAACCGTAGGCCACAAAAACAGATGAACTTTACATCATCTGCCCTATATACCAACAGGTCTGAAAGGGGAAATAGTTAGGCCAGGTTCACATCTAACTTTGCATTCACTTGCACCTATCCTTTGATTAGCTGTACCGTTGGGGCACTGCACAAGATCTGTCAACCTTCTTTCTCCATTCTTATCTCTCATTAGTCTTTGATATAATTTCATTTGAATGTTCTTTCTGAAAATATTGAAGCCTGCCTGGGTGGACCACTGGGGGGGGGGGGGGGGGCGATTTTGAGTTTGTGTTTCCACACAAACTGTTTTTGTAATCTTGTTTATTTTTTGGACACGTGTCGGAAATGCAGGATGTGAAAAAGGTGCATCCACTTCCGACGTTCTTGAAACAAATACTTGTATCCTAACCCATCAAAACATTGCTTGGCTGTCTGCTGGCTAATAACATACGTGACAGTGAACGCTAATATGTCCCTTCATGTTTCTTGCAGTACTGGAACAACTTTGATGACGTAATTGCTGAAAAGTTTAAAGGATGGGCTTTCTTTGAATCCAATGACGTCTATGTCAAGAGACAACTTTTATGTTTTCCTTTTATATACGACTACGACAAGGTAGAATTTATAAGATTACTTTTTTTTTTACTTGGTAGAGTTTATCTGTAGTCAATTTCGAATCAACATCACAGAGATGTAGCTAAGAATTTGACATCATTGGGGGGGGGGGGGGGGGGGCTGCATTTTGCATAATATTAAATATTTTATGTAAAAGCAATTTCGCCTCAATTGGGGGCCCGGGGGGATTTTTAAATTCTCCCCCACCCTAGCTACGCCACTGCATCATCATAACCATCATCAAACTCCATACGAGTGAAACTTTTGCGAAAGTTATGGACCTAATCCCAGGGCTGTTGTGTGCCTAATGTAGGTAAATCACCATACAGGTCAAGAACTTCCCAGATCTGTCGAGATGGAGGTCTGGGGCATTCAAAAATATATCAGACGGTTTGCTCTTCCTCCCCGCAGCGGAGGCACCCCAAGTCGAAGTTTGGCCTGAACCTTGCGAAATATGACCCGACAAGACAATGTGTGATCTGTTCAGACCTGAGCAACTTATACAGCGGAGAGGCGCGGTCCGGGTACCCTGTGTGCTCCCAGACTTCGGGGAGTTTTGGGACTTGTCCCAGCACCCCAACATTTTTTGGATTGTTTCCAGAGCATGATGGAAACTTACAGTGTTCTCGGTAGGTGGTGTTCGCCCTCCTGATGGGCCAAGGCGTCTGCAATGGTGTTGCCAGCCACACCTATATCTATGACTAAGTCCCCACTGAATTGCTATAACTGTCATATTAGATAAAGGGAAGTGTTTTCAAACTATCCTAGTTGTTGTTACTATTTATGTTATAAACACGCTGTCTTCTACGTATGGATTGTCTAAAATGTAGATTTTATAATCATATGTTATTTTGCCTCAGATTCATATTGTTTGTTACAACGGAGTCATCAAGTTTGGAAAGAGTTTATCACAGGTGAGTGATAAATTCACTTTGTAATCTTAATGGCTTTTAGATCTTTGCTAGCCATTTTTTTTCTCAATTAGATTGAATCTCGAATAAGAAAAAAAAAAAGAAAGAAATAGTCGAATACTTTAATTCGCATTGATAAAACTGTCTTACAAGCGCAAGTCTGCATTTTATTGGGGCTGAGATTTCCTGAACATATACCGATGGCATTGAATGTTCCATTAAACGCTTGAGAAAATCAACTTTATAAATATATAAACAACATGTCCTGAAGACCTTGCTAACAATGCCCAAAGAAAACACATTTTTAAGTGCAATCCTTGAATTCTACTGGTCTGTTCTTTCTTGAAAAAAAAGAGAATGTTTATGTCGTCTTCTAAATGTAGATACGAGTATGCCATGAATCTGATTGTCTTTATGTAGTCTTCTGAAGGTAGATACGATTATGCTATGAATCTGATTGATTCTTTATGTAGTCTTCTGAAGGTAGATACGAGTATGCCATGAATATGATTGATGCCCAAATTTACCTCTTGCCAATATGTCTGCAAATCAAATTCCGAGACAAGAGGAAAAAGTATATCATCATGGTAAGAAAGTTTTGATCCGAAAATATTTAACTTTCTATCTTCAAAATCCTGGAACTTATTAGCCTACAATGTTTTGTAAAATGTTTTACATATTTCGGATGTTCCTTCAGAGTTGATAGTTTACTTCCTGGTCCAAACTTCCCGCTGGACGACGGGGGATGGGAGCGGACAGGGTTTGAACCCGGGACCATCGATAAATCCAAGCGACAATCCAGCGCGCAAACCGCACGACCAGGCAGCCATCCTATGTTCTTATAATCCAATAAACGCTCATTGCTGGTTTTGTCAACTCTTGATTAAGTAATGCGGCTACCTTAGCCCACATCATAGCCTACATGAAAATATTTTGAAAACAAGCAAAGTATAAAAATTATTTTAAACAACAACGATTATATAATGGAAAGAGCTGCACATTTACAACCATATAAATCTATACTTTAAGATTTATTTCCAGCTCCTATACAACATTCATTCATTACCACTACTGAATTATTTCGTTATTTCTGTTTGATTGATTCGTCTTTTATTAGGGACAATGAATAATTGTGCAAAGTTTCTTCTTCATTCGAGAATGGGAAGTGGGAGAAATAACGTGTACAAAATGTGTCCCAGACAAACAGACGGAGTGAGTTGCTAGAAGCTTTGTAAAAAAAAAAAAATATCCTACTGTTTAAAAATATTACATAGATCTCCTCTCGTAACAGTTGATTGTACATTACATGACAAAATTAGTTTCACAAAGGCAACCTAAAGTCTTAATTGATTTATATATATATGAAGTTTATTTACCTATTTTCCCAGGCATTTAATGACATATATAACAAAGAACTGAAAAAGAAAACACTATTACATGTGTAGGATTACTTACTTTCTTCTGTTTCATCATGACAGATGAAGAAACTTGAAGATTACAAATACATGATTCGAACACTGAAAGTTCAAAAGCAAGAAAAGTTCCGAGAGAAGGAAGTGTATCTCTGTGACAGAAGTAAGTTTCCCTATACGGTGCTCCATTGGCTGCTTGACTTTTATGTTCCCAGTAGAGACTGTTCGCTAGGTCGCGTACACACAGGGGGTGGGGGGGATAGGACCAAGTGAAGTTCTCTTAGGACGTTCTTGTGTCCCATTTCCAATGGGGAAAACCAAAGGCACTTGGTGACACAGGGGATTATTACAGACGTCCCATGTACATTTGCATCTCAATGGGAAACATCCAAAGCTAACCAACCCCCAAGAGGTACTTGTGTGTTCACTAATGCATTACAGAGTTTCATGAATATTTCTAAAAACGCTTTAAAGTTTCTCAAATGTTTAAACAGGTTCAAAGAATGGAACTAACACAAATGTTCATGCACTGATAGGTCTAACGAATAGGACAAGTAATCAAATAAACAAACTAAAACGTTTTGACTTGTTCAGACTAGAATCCTAGTACTATAGCAAAATGCTTATTTTTCCGTACTCCTGAAGTTTCTACTGTTGAATGTACACTACTTATGTTACAATTGTTAAAATAAGTGATGCAAAGAATTATTTCGGATTGGCACCCTAATCTTGAAAGGCCACTGTGTCCTTCTTAGGGCGCATTATCTTTCGATTGTGTCCCTTCTACACTCTCAAAACACTTGGTGGAAACACAGGCCTTAGATGTACTCAGCGTCTACTCTCCAAATTTTTGCTGTTCTTACATAGCTGTCTTTTGATTAGGACAGAAAATTTAAGACTAAAATGATTAGCAAAGTGACTTATGGATTAAACATTTATTTTTTTTGTCTTTGAAGTCAAGTATCTCCACAGAGTACAAGCAAATCATGTAGCCCAGAAAACAAAGCTTCCTTGCAGACACCTTTACAAATATATTTTAGAGGACGCCAGAAAGACTCCAGCGCCAAGCAGGCATAGTGGGCATTATCTCCACCTCAGATGTTTAGCCAGACGAAAGAGTTTAGTAGACTGTATTTGCTATTATACATGTTGGTGCTGATAGAAAATCCCTAATGATTTAACAAAAATTTTTTTTTTGCTCAGAACAATTAATGTGACTGTGAATAAGAAATCTTTTGAGAGGTTTTACTTTTTTTTCTCCAAATAATTAGAATCTATGACAATTTATTTTTGTGAATTATTTTTGTGTAGTTTTAAAATGAGTGCAAATGAATAAGAATTCTGAAAAGTGTGTGCATCTTGCATTATTTTAATATGATAGCAGTTAAATAACAAAATTTACACAATGAAACAAAAAGGTATTAGTTCTAATGTACCCTTAATCTAATTATGGTAAACATATTAGCTAGTGTCTCTACATATAGGCTACCTGCATGTTTAGATTCCACAACATGTACATAGTGAAATCATAAAACTATTTCATAGCTATTATCTAAAACTTGTTCCTATCCTAATGAAATGTATCTATAACTTGTGCTTCTTGTAAATAATTAGAATCTAGAATGCTGAGTGATTACAAGTGAAATATGTAGATAAGTACCAATCAGTATACATTTTGTTATATTCATTATACTAAACTAATTTTTATTTAAAAAAAATGTAATATTTTGTAATTAAAAGATGTACATTTAACAGAACAGTGATGTAAAATAAACAATTATTTACAAGAACATATTTAAATAAGTATATGGATGGCCAGGAGAAGTTTTGTTTGATGTGTGCCAAAAGATGGAATGGAAAAAGATAACTTCTTGTTCAAATCACCTGAAATGAGCCAAATGTCTAGATCCATTTTTCAATGTCACATGATCACAGCAAACTAAACAAATTCAGCAGTTGTGATTATCTTTTGATTTTAAGTCTAAACCTTCAACTCTCCCCCCACCCTCCAGTTTCCTACTCTGTAAATCTCAATGATTCAGTTTAAAAAATGGAGCAAGCATACTAAAGACTAACAGTCACAAGAAGTGCACAATGTTCACTGGATGGATAGTGCCAGACTTACCTGGGCTCAGTTATTGTATACCCAAGTCTGTCATATTTGTTTATAACTGTGACCACTTGGCACAACAAGTAATGCAGATGTCTGAAGAGCATTTCAATACCTCCCTTTTCTCCCCCAATATTTTTTCATTACACTTACATTACATAGCCTGTAATCTTTTGAAATGTGTGTATGTCTCAAATGTACTGAATGACAAAGCACTGGCTTTCAATGTTATTTGATTTCTTTTTTATTAGTATCTATTTAAGTCAATCATCAGTCTCCAAATGACTTTCTTCAACATGTTAGTTATCTGTACATTCATCTTTCAAATACAATGTTACTAAAGGTAGACACAACTGTAAGACATAATGAACAGTAGTTAGCAATCTCAATGTTTGAAATAAAAGCTATCTGCCTTTCAAGCCTATAGCCTCCCTAATTTGTTTGTCTAGTTCTGCAATGATTTTATCCTGTGATGTGTATACTCCAGTCCTCAAAAGAGTGTCCCTTTCTTCCACCAGTCTTGCCACATGTTCATCCACAGAAGAGTCCAGATCAATGTTGAGAGGTTTGCCCATGGCATCTTTCACAAATGGCAACTGGTTTGAGTCACTTGTGTTCCTAAGTCTTTCTTCTTCCATCAGTTTCAGCCTGTTAACAAAAAATAGTTATGAGAAAAAAAAACAACTAACAACTTTTCAATAAAAAATCTTAAATACCAAATGTGTTAAATAAAGAGTTATTCAAACTTTTTAACATGTTAACTAGAACATACATTATTATGTCAAGGACAAATGGAACATTCAATATAATATATATATACTAGTTGACCCACGGCGCAGCATACGCCCTTATTTTGGAGGGCCGGCATTAGGCCTATGCGACCGCAGTGGGCCCCGCACTTTCAAAGGACCCGCGCTAATTCTAGGTGTATATTATTAAATTAAATCATTTTATAACTTATAACAGAATTACCGCAGCCTCCTGATTTACCAGGAGCTCCTTGAAATCTCCTGAAATTGCAAAATATACAAAAAAGTCATGGAAATCTCCGGAAATTATTAAAATCTTTTGAAAACTCAAAAAAAAAATTTCCTGAAATATATAGACAAAAAATTGTCATTTTGGGGTGTCATTCAAAATGGAAAACGCAAATCCTACACACAATAAAAAAAAACAGCATTATGCAATAACCATAATTGTGGAATCTGGTGAAAGAAGCTTCTCGCGCCTCCAACTAATGAAGAATTACTTGAGGTCAACAATTCTTGAAGATAGATTGAAACATTTGATAATTCTTGCTATTGAGCGTTATCTGTGTAGGAAACAGAATTTTTATGATATGCTGTATGGCTTCGCTACATGCAAGGCTCGTAAAGTAATTGTAGGTAGTAAAGAATGAATAAAACGCAAAGACGAATTTATTATCTAATTCAAATTCTTAATTTTCACTTATAATCCGTATCCCTACCCAAGTCTGTTTCGCATAGAGCCCCACAATGGTTGAGTCCAGCCCTGCTATTTAGTGATTGGTGAATACAGAATAGATTACTTGTTCTCCTCTCCTCCCCTCTTTTTTTCGCCGCTAAAACACCTTGGGTAGAAATAAAAAAGAGTGATCTTTCCATGACTTCTTGGTTTCAACGGTTAAGTCTGGCCCTGCTATTTTGTGACAGGTGAATACTACTTGTTCTCCCCCACCCCTCTTTTTTTTTTTCGTAGGGTAACTCTAGTCGGTCCGACTTGCAGAAATAAAAGAATGATCTTTCCTTTAATTCTTGTCCAAACTCTTGAGCCATGATAAGAATTATAAATGTAGAAGATGTTCATATTTTAATAAAAACCCTACCAAATGAAAAGGAATCTAGTTATAGCATCATACTATGGTGATAGAATTGCTTATAGTATCATGTTATAGGATCCTATCACCAACAAACTCACTTGTTTATCTGAGATTTGATTTCTTCTAGCTCTCTGTTTTCTTTATTAACAACTTCTTTTTCTTCAGCTGCCAAGTAACGTAACCTCATATGTTCCAATTCTTGCTGTTGCCTCTGTAAATGAAAAATTTTTTTTTTATAGAGAGCTAAGTGCTACAGATAAGTTGATGCATTAGAATGATTATAAAGAATCAAATAATAAATAAAAGAAAGTTGAAAATATTTTACAATAATATTATATTTTGTTTGAATCTAACTTTATCATCGAGATCATCAAGACAGGTGTGAGACAGTGGTGCATCTTATCTCCCTTCCTCTTCCTCCTACCTAGCCATGACTACATAATGAGGAGAGCAATGAATCAGTCTGCACTACTCTGGGCTACAAATAAATGCATACAAGAAATGATGGAGAGCCTTGATAGAGAGACACCCAAAATTGGCCTCCGCATAGACTTGGATAAAAAAAAAATTTGCGAGATGATATAAGGCAAAGGGTGCCCCTGTCAGATTTGGCGAGTCAAAGCTTGAAGAGTTGGAAAAGTTCACATACCTTGGCAGCATCATAACAAACGATGGGTGCCTACCATGATGTAGCATGCGGAATAGGAAAGGCAGGGAACATTTTCAAAGGCTGCAACCTATTTGGAGGTTTGCGGGACATGTTCTCCAACAAAATGAACTATGCATACCAAGAGTCGAGATGCCATGGAGGCCAATACCAGGAAAGCGCTAACAGGGATGTCCTTGTATAACCTGGCGCCACACTTTCATGGGGGACCTCAGAACAGTGGACACCAGGTGGGAGGAGGCTTCAGACATTGCCAGTGACAGATCTTTGTGGATACAGCTTGCCGCCCTATGCGCCGAACGGCACTGGAGGATTTAAGTCTAAGTAAGTCTAACTTCATTTTGATAGAAACACTTTCATGGAGGACCTCAGAATAGTGGAAACCAGGTAGGAGGAGTCTTCAGACATTGCCAGTGACAGATCTTTGTGGATACAGCTTGCCGCCCAATGCGCCGAACAGCACTGGAGGATCTAAGTCTAAGTAAGTTTAACTTCATTCTGATAGAAACAATGAAGTGAAAACTGAGTTTGATCATTAACTTTCAAAGTCTGGTGCAAAAAACTTTAAAGAAATTCTAAAAAAAAAAGGTATACAAATTCAAATCTTTTGCAGCATTTAACAACCCAGGTGCCAAATCAGTGAATAATTTTAAAACATTTTTGCTAGGTCAGAGAAGCTAGAGATACAAATTATTTTTGTGTTCAGAACAAAACATTAAAAGCTTTTTTTTTTTTTTTTTTACACTATTAATTGTCAGCCTCCATTTTATTTAGCCACATTTTGCCAGAGCCTCCACAGGCCTCAGTTCATTTCAATGCTTATTTGGTGATGAACCACTAAACAATAATAGATTTAATGTTATACAAACTTGTACTGACCAATAATTGAGCTTTAGCAATGTCTTGTTCTTTCTGCTTCAGTCTGGCTACTTCTTTTAATGCCCTGCCCCATTGCTGTTTGTAGTGGACTTTAGACTTTGTTGCAGCATCAAGTTTCCTCTCTAACTCGATCTTTAGTAGACAAAAAAGTCAATAAAATTTTTAAAAAATACAAAAACCTAATGTCAATATTAACTTAAAATGTATGTAACAAAAAACTTGCATCTTAAAAAAGATCATATAAAATGGTAGTGAATAGATTTGTAACCTAAATTACCCTAGGACCCAAACAGCTTTCATAAAGCCACAAAACCTACAATAAATGCCTCACCAAGTGGATTTGAGAAGAATTTTTTGATATTTAAGAAGCAACAAGGGTGGACATTTGAACTGAATTTCATATCACTACAGTCAGTATATGCTTATTTGGAAGTTTGCAGTAATTAAAAACATGGGTAATGATAACTACACAGTGCCATTTATGGACAAGCAGGGGCATTGTTAGGTAGAGAGGATAAAGTGGTCAACTGTCCAATAAAGTGAAGAAAGAAATTGCCTTCAGTTACACAGGAGTTAAAGACTTAAGTTACATAAGTTATCAGGAAGTTAAAAAATTATTTTTTTAATTTATATTTCTATCATGGCTGCCTGGTCGTGCGGTTTGCGCGCTGGACTTTATTTATCGACTGTCCCCCGTCGTCCTGCGGGAGGTTTGGACTAGGTAGTAAACTATCTTCAACTCTGAAGGAACATCCGAAACATGTAAAACATTTTACATTGTTACAACAAATAAAGTAAGATTAATCTGTAAATGATAATTGCCAGGTTTTAAACTCTGAAAACACACAAGCTCTTTGAATGGACATATAAAAAAAGATATTAAGACTTAAGACATATAAATTTAATTTTTAAATAGATTTGAAACATTTATATGTGCTTGACAGATTAATTACCTTTTCCATTGTCAGTAAATTAATTTCAGACTGTAGTCTAACCTCAGGTGTTTTTG